GGCTGAGGGGACCTAAGCTGAGCCTCATACCCTGGGGGGCAGGGGCCACTGCATTTGGGTCACTTCTGTGGGAGAGGCCCCGTCGGAGTGGTTTCTCTGGAGTCACCGACACCGCTATGTCTTCTTCCTCACGACTGAGACAGAAAACAAACCAGGCACCATGCCCACACAAAAGAGAACAGGAGACTACGCACGGGAGACTGGCAAAACCCCCACAACAGAGCCAGGGACCTGATGCCCATGCTGGCTGTGAGATTTGGCTTCTGGGTAAAGAGATACCGGTTCTATGAGGCCTAACAGGCGTTTAGCATTTACTGACATCACAAATGATGCCAGGATGGAGATGCAGCAAATCCACTTACCCTTCTTCTTAACACCCAGAAGTCTACCTCCAGCTCCTCCTTTCTTTACCTCCACAATAGTGTCACAAAGGTCAGAGTCAACCAGACACCCACCAGCCAGAGTGTACCAAACCTTGCTAAATTACCAACCCCGGCCCCAGAGGCCAATGAAGGCCAATAATTCAGCAGTAAGGGGTCAGAGACAAAAAGGTGTTGTTGGCTGAAAATAAGTGGGATAAAGAGGCTGGTACCTGTCAGATGGTGACAGCCCTCCAAAGTCCAAGGTCTCATCCACAATAAACTTTACATCTGAAGGGGAAGAATGACTGTCAGTCACGGGTCCCTGATGCGGCTCTCAATGGCTGGGCCTCATTCTTCCCTCCAGAGGTTCCTTACCTTCCTCCAAATCCTCCATGTCCAGCCAGCAGGAACAACAATCAGCTTAGACCTGGAGAGAAAGCATACCTTTCCTCAGGTATCCATCCTGCCCAAAGCTCCCAGCTAGACTCAGGGTGCACATCAGGGGCAGGGGTCATGTTGAAGGCAAAGCAAGCGCTACTGCACCTGTCCCAGTGACTGGCCCCGTTATCTCCCGGAAAGGCGCGGAGACCTCCCCTCCCCCCATTGCCCTCCTGCCCCGCTCCCTGCATCCAGGACTCTCTTCAGTGGGGGCGGTCTGCTCGCTCCATATTCCTCCCGCCACTATCCTGAGGGTGCTTCCTCTCCCCAAGCGATCTTTCCAATCCCCCGGCACCACACTCACACCACACCTCTAGCCCACCCTCAGTTTCCACTTCCCGAGCCGCCTTATCTTCCACAGAAGAGGTTTTCCTCCCACAACCTAGTCCCGGGAATCAGCCCTCAGGGGGCGGGGCTCCTTTCGAATCTCTCAGGCCCCACCCACTCCTGCCCCAAACACTTGGTGATTGGCGGACCTTCAGGGGGCGGGGCTGCGGCGGGGAGCCGGCCGGAAGTCTGTCGGTGGGGGCCAGGGGTGGGAGGGAGAAAACAGTTCCCAGAAAGACTTCATCCGGGACTGCAGAAGCGGGGCGGCGAGTACGGTCGCGCACGCACGCCCGAGCGCGTGCCCGTCAGACCGGCTTTAGCTCGTCGGCGGGGTGCCGGGTGGCGCTGGGTCCGGGAGGGGCAGGGCCTCGTGGCGGCGCGAGAAGGGACGGCCCAATGAATGTGGGGTTCGCGCCGAGCCCACCCCGCCGAGCCGCGGAGCTGGGGTTTGCGGGCCCGGTTCCTCCGGCCGCCCTGAAAAGTGGCTGTTCTGCCTGACGCGGCCGTCGCCCTAAAGCTATCGTTCTGCCGGAGGAAAATTCGTTTCCGTGGGCGCGCTCAATATGCAAGCGCCGCCTTGGTCGGGTTTCTCAGTTGTGATGTTTTTTCCAAGTTAAGGAAGCAGCTAAACATGTATACTTTAGATAAATTGAGGGTCTCTAAGAAGTACATCTTCCCTCGCCTTTTTGTGCAAGAACATTGGGAACCTGAGGCAGCCAAGGTGTGAAGAAAACAACGGGCAAGAAAATTGAGGGAAACTTGGGTTCAAATTCAACCGTAATTCCTCCGTTTAGAAGTCGGACAGCCTGGAGTCTGTTCGCTTATCTGTGAAAGGAGGCTCGTTGGTTCTCACAGTTCTAGGGTTAGAAAGGCAATTATGAACAAGTTTATACTGTGTGCCCTCGGGCTTTAGAAGGGGTGTTGTAGTTCACTACCTCTGAACTGAAAGCTGTGTTTGTAAAATGCATAAACCTACTTATTAGGGATGTTCTCTGCTTCGAATGCTGCCTGTGAGTAGGCTGGGCCACCAGTTAACTGAGCTTCCTAGAAAGCTAAACATTTCGAGTGAAAAGGCTGAGGAGCTTTCCTGTAAACAAAGAACCTGAGCTTTAGTTCCCAGAGTTCATGCCCATTATTTTGGCCATTTATAGGCTTGTTTACTTCCTAGTTTGGGCTGTGAGGTTGAAGTGGTTAGGTCTGCAGGAGTGAGATGTTACTGTAATAAATGCCACGGAAGCAGAGGAGCCTTGGAATTCAGGAGGGTGATAAGGGAATGTGTGGGAAGGCCCAGAACTTGCAAGTTTATGTGAGGAAGAGGAGAGGATTGCCACTGTCTGCTGGTGAAGATGGAATTTTAGTTGCTTGCAGGGTCTATTAAGGGTGGAAAAGCACAGCCAATAGCCCTCTGTCCAGGCAAGCAGTGGGGAGGAGAGAACAGAGGGGAAGGAGCTGTTGATTAACTGCACCCTTTCTTCCCCTAGTAGCCTGAGTAGGGGAACTCTACACTTCTTCACCTGTCTTTAGCTGAGTGGGGGAGGAAGTTTTAGCAAACTGGAAGTTAGTGTCTTCTAAGGAAACTCATCTCCAATTTTCTGTCACCAAAGTATGATTTTGAAAGCTGTTGCAGTACCAGAAAGAAAGAAAAAAAGCAACGGAACTACTTTTACCTCCATCAGAATGACAGCAAACCATGATTTCAGACATAAATATTCTTCATCCAGCATAAAGCACCTAATCTGGGGAATATTTGATATTTGTTTTCCTCACATTAACCTCAAAATCATGTGTATGAACAGGTGTTTAGGATTTTGGATATCTCTTGTAAAACTGGTCAAGAAAAAAAAAGGTTTTAGATAAATAATGAATTAATGAAGAAATTACACCCCCTCCTAGGCACATAGTAGGCCTGAGCTCAGAAGTATTCCATAAGTGTCAAATGCCTAAATGAGAAAATTAAGGAATCCAGTTCAGTTCTCCTTAAATGCAGAAGGATTAACTGTAGGACTGGAGATCTTTGTCAGTGTGATTTTATTCCTGACCAGGAACAAATTTTATTCCTTGACCAGGAAAGCTGAGAATATGTGAACTTTAAAGGATGGCCCTTGAGTAATTCAGCAAATAGCAGAGGCATGGGACTGTGGGCTGAGACCTGAGGTCCGCCTGATCCTTAGGGTATCATAACTGGGCGTGTCACCCCTTCCTGACCTAGGTCCTGCTTCAGCTAGAGGGAGGCCTCTTCCCCATTGTGTATATGGCTGGCTGGCACTGGACTCTGATTTCTCCCCTCACATTCTTAAGCAGGGGTTCCATAAGTGGGTTAGGCCCTGCAAATGATTTGTGTGAGCATTTTCTTGATTTCCAAAAAGATAGTACATAACTAATAACATTTTAGGTGTATAGAAAGAGTTAATTTATAGCATACAGTGGATGCCTTGTGGCATGGAGCCTTAAATCTTGTGGAACTCCATCTGAGAAGGGCTGGAATAGATACTTTGCCTCAACTGAAAATAGACCTTTGGTCTGAACAGAAAAGCCCTTCACACTCTTCTCAGCCAGATCACATCCCTTTCTTCCTTAAAACCTCACCTAATATTTATCACCTCCTGGAAATATTTTCTTTCTTAAACTCATGATTCAAACCCAGACCAACTATGGTGGGGATCACTGGGTGAAAGAGATGAGAGGAAACAGGAAAGGTTTGTAGCCAAACAAAGCTATTCAAATCCTAGTTCTGCTGTTTACCAGCTGGATGACTTGGGACAACCAATGAGCTTCAACTTCTAAAAGAGGTAAAGCACTTAGTTCCTGATGCATTGAAAGCTGTTTCAGTAATCTATTTTTATGCCATAGACCACTTCAAAATTTAGTGGTTTGAAACAACAGCAACCATTTATTTGCTAATGATTTTACAATTTGGGCAGGGCTCTGCAGGGATAACTGTCTCTACTCCACATGGTGATGACTGGACTTGACTAGGGCTGAAGGGTCTAAGGTGGCCACAGGTGTCTAGGGCCATGGTGCTGGCTATCAGCTGGTTGTCTCCATGTGGCCTCTCATAATTCAGTAAGCTAGCCTGAGATTCCTTATATGGTAGCTGACTTACAAGGGCAAAAGCAGAAGATACTAGACTTCTTAAGGCCTAGGCCCAGAACTGGCACAGCATCAGTACCATCCCAGCCTGTAGGGCTTAGGGCTTTGTCTTTAATTAGCTAAATGCATATTTATGTGTCCTACTGTTTGCCTCTTTGTGTTGGATTTGCATCCTCTTATCCCAGCTTATCCTGGAAAGCCCATAGAGGAAGAAAGCAAGTCATCTTCAGCATCTCTTTTTAGCACCTAGTACTGCATAGAGTTGAATTCAGTTGTATTATAGATTGTCTAGAAACACAGTGTTTGAAACCTCTGTGGATGAGAATGTGGATATGGGAAGAGAAAGAGGAGTCTTAGTTTCCTGAGAGTCTGTACAGTCTAGGTAAAGGATTCCAGCTTTCTAAATGTTTCATAGAAAGGCTCAAACTAGCTGGGCATGGTAGCTCATACCGGTAATCCTAGCACTCTGGAACGCTGAAGCAGGAGGATTGCTTGAGCTTAGGAGTTTGAGACCAGCCTGAGCAAGAGTAAGACCTTGTCTTTACTAAAAATAGAAAAATTAGCCCAGGATCGTGGTACACACCAATAGTCCCAGCTACTCAGGAAGCTAAAGCAGGAAAGGATTGCTTGAGCCCAGGAGTTTGAGGCTGTGGTGAGCTATGCTGATACTACTGCCCTCTACCCAGGGCAATAGAGCAAGACTCTGTCTCAAAAAAGGAAGAACAAAAAAAAAAAAAAAAAAAAAAGGAAATTGAAAGGCTCAAACAGATGGGCACTCATGGATTGAAGATCCACACATTTATTTAGATTAGTCCAAACCAGACATTGTGCTGCAGCTCCTTATGAACACAGTCTTGCCATAGTCTGGCTTCCTGGAGGCACTGAAAAGAGAGAGTATATTGTGGCCATAATAGCAAACAGCCAGAGCACATCTAGGATGCTGAGAGAGTCCTCTTCATGGCCCCATGTCCTGTGCTATGAATTCACTATTTACCCTGCTTCATTGCTGGGCACTGGGAGGAAAGAGGGGCAGCTAATGCTAACACAACACATTATGTTATGCTGAGGGATGGAGAGAGAACTGTCTCTGCAAGCCAACTGACAGAGAGAGCTCTCCTGAATTCCCTGTACTTTAATGCATACCTTAGGGTTTTCATTTGCTGTATATCAATGATAGGCTTAAGTAAATGGCTTAGGGATTGAATTCATTCTCAATTTTCATCAGCCAGGAGCTGCAAGTCAGAGGGGACATTGGAAACTACTTCTGTTTAATTCTTTCACAAGCTTCTTTTCCACCCTACTCAGCAGTTTGTACACATTTCGAATGTAAATGATTTAAAATCTAAAGGAGCTATCAAATTGTAAATGATGATCTGAGTTGCCCTTTGCCAATAATGGACTGCTTGGGACCACATTCCCAAATGTTAAATTATTATTGACATATAATGATAATGCTGATTATTTTTCTTGGAAGGGAAGGAATCTATAAACTTCAACGTAAAAAACAAAAATATTAATCCGTTTCTTACCATGCTTATGATACCGTAGTAGAAACACTTAACTCTCAGGAGCAGCCTCCTGTGTCCTTATCTACCCAGCTACAATGTGGTGGTGACTCTCATCGATTCCTCCACTCTCAGTTGTTCCCTTGATATCTTTTCATAAAGTACTGACCCAGCTCCCTCCCACAGAACCCCCTAACTATTAGGCATATGCTATTACTCTTCTTCAGAGGATCATTAGGCTTAATTCCCATCAACTTGAGGAGTACAGACATTTAGAGGATGTGACAAAAGTAGACTTCATCAATGGTAAATTCCTTCCACAGGGATGACAGTATTAGCTTTTCAAAAAGTGATTTTAAAAAAAGTGGTCACCAGTGGGTACACGGTTGAAAGATATAGGAATACACATCTGTCCCTGACTTGACAACACTAGCCATAACATGAAATAGTCCACTAAGACTCCCTGTCTCTTTTTCCTTACCTTTCTCAGAGTCCCACGTCCTCCTCTTAGCTATCCTCAAATAGGAGCTGCAAGAATTCAGATATTTTTCAATGTTAATATCTTTGAAATCTTTGGGAAACCTTCTTTCAGTGCATTGGGAAGGGATACTCTATTTCAGGTTTTTGGGAAGTTCATACATAAATGAGAATAGGACATGTAAGGACCCATCCATTCTGATTCATGCAAGAAACATTTAGAGAGTGCCCACTGTGTACATAACTGTGCCACTGGGGAGACAAAGGTGAATTAAACACTGTCCCTGCCCTCACAGTGCTTATACTTAAATAGGGAAACAGATCTATAAATAGATCATTATAAAACAATATGCTAAACACAATGATGGAGATCTGAACAAGGTGACAGGCATGAATAAATGAATAAATACATTAAAGAGGTAGAGAGGATGTGCGATATTACCTTTAAACAAACTGGAGGGGAAAGTAAAATAAAGCCCAATAAACAGCTACAGCTTTCCTAAACTGAGTCAGAAGTTTGTATAGCTTATAGAAAAATGATCTGAGTGAGGACTAGGAGGCTTGGGCTCTTTCCACCATAGTGCCAGCTTTTTGATTAACCAACACTGGAAATCTTGGGTAAACCAGTTACCTCCTTGTGCTTCAAGTTTCTCCTTTGCAAAGTGGAAAAAATGACTCTTCCTATGTTACAGAATTGTGGTGGAGAGGAATGAGACAGTGAGTAGTAAAAACGCTCCTCAAACACATTCTGATGATGACAGTGAGAGGGTCTGGTAGGGGAAGCCCTTCTCTACCTAGGCCTGCATCTCTGTCCAGACTCTGCCACTTTTGGAGGATATGATTGGCCCCCTGATGCACTAGTTCTCCTTCTGCCCCTACCTTTTACGTCCACTCGACAGTCCACAGATGCCTCCCCCAGGGGGTTAACTGCCTTGCAGGTATATATGCCTCCATCAAAGGGACCAGGCTTGCGGATTTCTAGGGAGCAGATGCCCAGGTGAGTGAGGGCTCTGTACTTGGGGTTGCCTTGGATATCCATCTTGTTCTTTAGCCAGATGATCTTGGGCTGGAAGATAAAGATGAGGGGGCAGCAAGGAGATGGAGCCTCAGAACCAGTTGCTCTTTCTGTGCTCAGTCACCGGGGCTCTGCCTATAAGGGCTGGTAGACAGTGGCTTTCTGGAAGGCTCCCTATTCCTTACACTGTGGGAAGGGGTTCCCCTTCCAGTACCTTCAGCGGTTCCCCAAGCTCCTTCTCTTAGTTGAAAAGAGCACCTGCAACCTTGCCTTCTTCACCAAGTGTTGCTAACTAGAAGTAAGGTGATAATTTCTGTTCCACACTGCTCGAGCGCCCCTTCACAGGTCATAAGCACCGTGCATCGGTGCTCTTTTTGACGCGTGCAGTGGGAAAGTTCATATCCTGTTCTCACTGTTGACTTGTGGGTTGATCCTGTCTGCGCTGGTCAGGAAGTAGTTTCTAGAGTGGGCTACTGACATTCTCCTTGAGGCATTATCTTCACGTAGTCTGTTCCAGACTTGTAACCCAAAAGATACTTGGTAAAGGTTGTTAATGGTGTTTTATGCCGTGTGTGGAGTACCATGACTACGTTGTAAATAGAGAGCTTTGCCCAGGGTTGCGACCAAGGCTGAACTGTAGGCAGCTTGCGAGTGCATGGCCCTGATCAGATGAAGTCAGGAGGGGTAAGTAAGGACAAAGCAGTGGGACCCCATCTTTCCTACCAGTGAACAACTTGAAGCTCATGCCTAATTGCCAGCAGGTCAGTAAGTGACATCTTTGTATATGAGGAACAAACACTAAAAGGCAACATCATTCTCATGAGTCAGTCTTGGACTCTAAATACCCTGACTATTCTTAAATCAAGTGCTGTTGAAAAGGCAGAGGGTGGAGATGGTAACAGGAGTTATTAGAATGCTCTGTGCCTTAGCTTAGGTTAGGACAGGACAGGAGCAGGAAACAGCTCAGACAGCCATCCCCCAGGACTTCCCACTTACCCGGGGGGAGGCGCGGACACAGCAGAAGAGCTGGGTGTCATAGCCAGTGACTGTAGTACAATCTGCCAGAGGCTGGGTAAACTTTGGGGCTTCAGAGAAGTCTCGCTGGGCAAATCCCTTGGTCTTGTAAATAGTAGCTGGGGGCACCCAGAGAGGCCATGATGTGGTGTCTGAGATCCCCATCCCTCTTCACCTCTTCATCCTTAAGTCATCCCAGCCCATGGTCCCCATGCCTCCTTACCTGCTTTCTGGATGTGGGCAAGGTCAGCAGTGATGGGGGCTGTTTCACTGAGTCCGCACTGGTTTTCGGCAAAGACGCGAAAGGCATAGGAGTTGCCGACGATGAGGTCAGAGACAATGCAGCTGGTGCGGTGATAACGCTCCAACACCGTGAACCACAGCTGTGGGGCCCAGTAAGATGCCGTTAATGAGACATCTGCTTTGTGAACTCACCCCACATGGAGCTGCCAGAGGTCTATTTCAGAAAGCCCTATTCCTCCCCCCAACCTCCTTCCCAGCAGGGCCTCACCCCAGATTTTGTGTCAGCCTTCTGCACTGTGTATCCCAGGAGTGCTGTATTGCCTGTATCTTGGGGAGGTGTCCATTCCAGGGTAGCATTGAAGCCCCAAACGTCCACCAGCTTAATGCTCTGAGGAGGGCCTGGCCTCTCTGGAAGGGCAAAGCCATGGCAGTGGGCACAGTACAACTGCATTGAAGTCACTTCAAGAGCACCCCTGGACCCTTTTTCTGTTCAGCCACCCCTCCGATGGCCACCCTGGGTCCCCAACTCAGTGTGGGCCTCACCCCAGTTCCCCAGCTCTCTGAGATGGCTCCTCTTCAGCCTGGAGAGGGAGCTCCTGAGGACCACCCATCTCCCACTGCCCCCTCATACCGATCACCAGGATGTCAACCGTAGCAGTGGCCTCCAGCCCGCCCAGCTGCACACGGAGTTGGTAGCGACCTGAGTCAGCACGCTGGGCTTCCCGGATGAAGAGGATGGAGTCTTGCTCCCCATTTCGCACGCTCACACGACTGGTGTCCAAGGCACAGCCATTGTGTGTCCAGGTGGCTTGAGGTTTGGGCTTGCCCTGAGGAATGGGGATAAGGCTTGAGCAGCCCCAAGAGGCTTCTCAACCCTCCCTGCTGCGGGAGGGGTCAGATCCACCCCAGGGCCACAGGGCCACTTGACTTGCAGCAGCATATTCCTTTCAGTTAGAAGTTGGTGGCTCTCCCAGGGGACTTTTTCCTTTCAGCCACAGCCTAAGGATCTGGGAAAGGGGGACAGCTATGAGTCTCCCACCTGTGGAGAGTTTAGGTTGTGGATAACCAGGGCAGCTAAGACCAACTGAATAACTGCCCAAACTCCCAGCAGCCCTTCAAACAGAGAGCTCCCAGAACTCCTAGACCTCTGCAGACTAAAGGGCATGGCTTAGCCTCACCTCATCTCATGTGGCACACCCAACCCTACCCAAACCCATCCTTGGGAGTGCGGAGTGGATGCCTCTTGGCCTCAGACTTCTGGTGATGTGGCCCTTTCCATTCAAGGACAGGAAGACTACCCCACTGCTAGCAGGACTCTTGGTATCTATTTCCAAATAAAAAGCCTGGCCTGGTCCCAAACATGGACCCAGCATGGGGCTGGCATGATCACCTGGAACGGGATTAGTAGGTTCACTGTGTCCCCAACCTTCCGGATGTAGGTCTGCCTCAAGGCCCGAGGTAGCCAGATCTTGGGGTGCTCTGAGTGATGGAAAGAGAGAGAACAGGCGATGGATACTCAGAGGAAGTGAATATCACATCCAGCTGCACACTACGGATGGGTGGCCCAGGCATTGTTCACCAAATCAAGCCCTTGCCTTAGAGAATGGGAAGATTGCTCCAATCATCTTACTGGGGTTTAGGGATGAATGCTTGGCTGAATGATCCTCTGGAGAGTGTTAGTCTGGGCAGAAGAGCACTGAAGTACCAGCCTGGCACTTTAGTTTGTAACTCTCAAGGACTGACTTTTCATCAGCTGAGATTTTGTTTGTGCACAGACCAGTCCAGTCTGTGTGGCTTGTCTTTCCACCCCTTTTCTACATTTGTCCTTAATATTAATAACATTCCTTTTATCAAGGCCACTTTCAATGTTGATCCTGACCTCCCAGTTTGGAGGAGACTCGGGAGAATGCTTTCCATTCTGCAGGCAGAGTCAACACCCAGCCTCCCCCAGCCCGCCCTCCAAGGCGGCACTGACGTCAGCACAGAGGGAGCAGCCGTCTGAGTCCCTTCCTCTGTGTGGCCGCCCCCTCCGGCGCCTGCGTGGTGTTCTTCCAGTTTGTGGAGGATCACTTTGTACAGACAGAATCTGGGAAAGCAAGATTAGGTCTACCACTCACTTCCCCTTGATCTCCCAGGCCTGTCCCTGTGAAAAGTGGAGATTAGATAACATTTATTGGCTTCAGGATGAAGAGAGGAGATGCTGGGGAAAGTGCTGAGTGTGGGTTTGGAGAGTGACCAGGTGTAATTTCTCTCCTCAGGATGCCGCAGGCTGTCTTGGCTGCCAAAGTGCAAATGTCCCACCTGGGTTCCCATGGGGGCCTGGTCGAGACTGACACCATTTTCTGGTCTTCTCAGGGCTGCTGTCTTCTTTCTCAGGCAGAGACAGTCCCTGTCTGCTGTTGTCTTAAGTAGAATGTGACAGCACCTCAGTTCCCACCAACAGCCCAGGCCTGGCAGTTGGAGGGACTTAAGCCCTGGTGCATTCCTGTGGCAAACAGCATGCGGGCTTGATAATGGATTCCAAACTTTCTGATAACAAACATTCCCCTGTAAATACCTTCTTGAGCCTTCACTCCAACATATGTTTACTTATATATTGAACTGTTTATGTACATTATAGAACACAAAAATTTCAGTAATGAAGTTTAAAATAAAATAGCTGGGTGCGCCTGCAGTCCCTGATTCTCAGGAGGCTGAGGCAGGAGGATAGCTGGAGCCCAGGGGTCCCAGACTGCAGTGTACAATGATAGTACCTGTGAATAGCCACTGCACCCCAGCCTGGATGACATACAGAGATCTTGTCTAAAAAAATAAACAGAGGTTCTACTATATTCTTCCCACACCTCAATTTGTAGAGCGTTGTCTAGAGAACTTTTCTCCTGTAGTCCCCTCACTATGATCTCAAGATCACTTGGCCTTTGTGAGTATAAATACAAAGACATGTCGCACACTGTCCATTTTATTTCTCTACTTTCCTTTTTTGCTGTGTGGCTTGTGTGTTCACCTGGGCTGTGCCTGCTTAGACTGCACTGCAGGAATATGGGAGGAGGGGCCTTGAGTGATCTGTGTGCCGTCCTCCCTGCCCTCCTCAGGGCTTGAGCGCCTCAGTAATAACACCACAGCAATGGCAGCGGAGTGACCCTGCCCGGTTTGGGAGGGGGTAGGGCGCAAAGAACAGAAGAAGTGTTTGTGTGATGTGTTCCTCTCCCGTGGCCATCTTGGCAAACAACCAAGGAGTTGAAAACAGGCGGATATGACTTAAGGGTTTTTTTTTGAAAAAGAGGGCTGTAATTGGAAAGGAGGCTCCAAACTTCATCTTGTCAGGCTTGGTTCCTACTGTTGGATGGGGAAATAACCCTTCACATTTGCTGGGGAGAGGGCTGGAGCGAAGGCGGCTCTGCTGTCCTTTGTGCAGCCTGCAGAATAGCGGCATTGTGAAGGACCTGGGTAAGCACCCAGAACAAGGAGAAGACTAGGGGAAAAGGGCTCAGAGAGAAGCCAATTTGCTGGAGATCTCCCAGCTAGCTGTGAAGTTGTGCTTGGCACCCATAACGCCTGCCTCCATATCGAGGGCTGTGTCTGAAGGACCTGTTCTCTAAGCATGGCCTGCATGTCCACTTACCTGCCTGCCACTGTCTACCTAGGACTGGGCATCATAGTCAGGGCTCTGACAGTGACCTTGCCCCAGAGGGAGGAGGCAAAGAAGGGAAGGCAGAGGGACACACGTACTCACAGACTGAAGCGGGTGTGGTGAGGAAAGGTCAGCCTTCACACTGGGAAGATGTGCCAAGTGAGGCCTCCTCTGCTTAGACCTCAGGCAGGGAATGGGCTCTGATGGGTAGACAGACGTGTGCTGGTGTTCATATTTATTTACCTAGCATTTCTTTTGTTTCTTATAAAAATACCATGGAAAGTGTTAGCATTTTTACACCTGAACTAAAGAGAAAAATCAAAGAACTAGGTCTATGTGGGACATAAACTAAGGTGGGGGAATTAAGGGAGGAGGAGACATAGAGGGGACGCCAGCTAGGACAGAGACACAGAGGAGGAAGGCTGTTGGCCAGGAGTTCTCGCCTCCCTGGAGGGCTCCCTTGCCAGTTCTTTGCTTATCAGTGGATTCCTGACAAGATGGTGAAACTTAAGTCACTAGGATGGGCGACTCTCAGAATGAGTAGATGAGGGCTCTACTCTCAGCAACTTCCAGGCTCCCCGTGGGAGGGCAGATTGGGCAAGAGGCTAACAGAGCGCCTAGGTGGCAGAACAGGTTTGACAACTCCAGATGCCTGGTCAGCAGCAAGTTCTCCAAACACCTCCCAATGCAACCCTGACGCAATCTGACTCTTTGCTAAGAATGTTAATATGCAGGCTTGTTGGAGGCATCGCTTTTCACACATCCGCAGTCAAGTAAGGCGCAAATTGTATCGACCTTGGGGAGGCATGGCTTCCCCTGTTGCCCAAGGTCTTTCTGCTAACTCAGATGCCAGGAAGGATGTGAGTGAGCCAAAGCCTACAGCCCTATGCAGAGCCTGGGTTTTCTGAGATCAGTCTGTGACTGGCTCAGTTTGGTTTTCTCCCTTCATAGCATCTTTGGAAAAAAGCATTTTGAAAAGTCTGTTGAAAGCCACTGAGTTCTGAGCTGTGTTGGTCTCAGCACTGTATTTCTCTCTCTTTTCTTTCTCAAAAAATTGTTAGAGGAGACTACTTCAAGTCCAAAGATCTTGACTCCTGCTGATTAGAAAATTCCTCCTAATATCTATCCTGACTTTATTCTGCTGAAGTTTATGCCCATTTTCTTATTCTATTCTAATGGGAAATAATTGTTCACATCCTCTCATATTTTCCTTTCACAGCATTAGAGACTGTCTTCCAGTAGTTCCCTAAGGGTTGTATAGTTCAGGCTGTTATTAGCTATGGCCTGCAGAGTGAAGAAACAAGATCAAACTCATGATCTTGGAGAGATAGAGAGGGGTGTGTGTGTGTGTGTGTGTGTGTGTGTCAGTGTGTTTATGTGCATTTGAGTGTGTGTGTGAATGCATGTGTGTGCATGCGTGTGTGTGTGTGTGTGTGTGTGTGTGAGGGAGTATGCCTATGTGCACCTGTGCTTCTGTGAGTGAGGGGTTACCAAAGGGGAGCAAATGCACAAGGCCAGCTATGATTTTGAAACTAACTAGAGATTTCCAGGTATCCAAGAAGTACGAGCATTTCTCAGAGAAACATTAGCAGATGCCTAGGACATGGCCCTGGCCTTCTCAGAAACCTGTCTGGAGAAGCGTGTGGGGATCTCAGAAATATCTTCCAAAGGACAAGAGTGTCACTTCCTAGAAGACCATGAAACTAAGGCCAGAAAAAATAAAAGAAACAGGCAATACTTCTCTGAGGAGAACACTCCATCACTCCCTCCCCATATTACAGTTTCTCTCCATGCTGGTTGGCTTTAGCTAGGGCTGTCACTCTCTCCAACACTGCTCCAGTCATAATTCCTGGTGATCCTTCCAAGCGTCCTGGCCTGCCACTCCTCCAATGACTGTCATCCTGGTTTCAGCCACTGGTTCCTGTGGTCATTCTCTAGACAAAAACTGCAACCCCTCTATGATCTGAATTGCAAGCATCCCACTCTCTCATCACTTCTACGACAGAGAAGGCCACTTGTTCACCAAAATGTAAGTTATCCCTTCCATAGTGTAGTTCTGAGAAGTGGCTGCCCAGGCAGGGACATTTCCCAGACCTCCTTGCTGTGTCACCATGAGACTAGTGCTTGACAATGAGATGTGTGTGGAAATGGTGAGAATTGGGGCCAAGGCTTTTAAGAAGTACATTTTCTACTTCCCCTTTTGCTAGCTGTATGCAGATGATCACGGGGCCCTAAGGAATGGCAGAGCTCTACAGTGGAAAGAGGCCTGGCTCCCTGAATTACTACATGGAGGAGAACTATCTGCTGAATAGGAACACTTGCTTTCCATTCTTTGTTAGTAAGAAATAAGACATCTTTTGTTCCTGAGGCCCATTTGTTTCAACTGGTGTACCCTAACATAATCTCTATCCCTTTATCTCACTTCCTCTAATGCTCCAACATCAGCAATTCTTCACCACCACCGAGATCTGCGATCCACTATCCTACTCCATCCCCTACTACCTAGCACCCCTTGCATGTTAGCACTTTCTTCCCCACCCAACTTAGACACCATGGTCATTATTGTACTCACTCTCTTGCACACTTACTCAAATCTGCTAATCCTCTTTCACTTCATTGCACCCTCCTGGCAATACCTAACCCTGGTCAAATAAACTTTCCACCCACTCAGTACCTGCATCCATACAGAATAACATGACTGAGGAAAAAATACAAAATTATGCTGACTTTAACTGGAGGGCCATTAACAGTGAAACAGCCTCTAAGTGGACCCTGGAAATTCTACTATCTTCCCTAGTCCACTCAATTTCCTATTCTCCTGGGTGACTACTGCATACTTTCCTCTTCTAAAATCCCCATCCCTTCTCCCTCATCCTCATTCTCAGTTGATGATTTTGCTAATGTCTCAAGCCCACCTATAGTCTATTCTTAATGCAGCAGCTAGAAAAAAATTTAAAACCTGCACTTGATCATGTCAGTCCTTACCCCAAACCCTTCACTGGCTGCCCATCTGTCTCAGAGTCAAACCACAGTCTTCCCAAAGCCCTGTTAACTCTCTGATCAAATTCCCCCCACTGCCTCCCTCCCTGTGCCACAGCCACAGTGGCCCCAACCCATATGGCATACTCCTGCTTCAGGGCATTTGCACTTGTTCTCTCCTTGCATAGAAAACATTACCCCCAAATATCTGCACGTTGTTCTCTCACTTCGAGTTGATGCTCAAATTTTGCCTTGTTAGTGAGACCTTCTCTGAATATCCTACTGGAAACAGGCATGCTTCCTATCCCAGCACTTTCTATCTCCTTCCCTGCATTATTTCTGGCATAGCATTTATCACCTTCTGACATATTATATTCATGTATTTTACTTATTTATTGTCTACCTCCCTCCACTACAATGTGGCCTCCATGAGGGCAGTTATTTTTGCTTATTTTGTTCATTTCTATAACTCTGGCACCTGGAACAATGCCTGCCTATGATAGGCACAACATAAATATTTGTGGGAGGAAGGAGGGGGAAAGGAAGGTTTGGCTTCCCATGTGCTGGAGGACACAGAACAGTTCAGATTGAAAGAAGATGCATGGTCAGTTGGAGCAATTATGCTGAAATCAGCAGATGAGCCCTCGCTCCTCTGTCTCAGGGTCTCACCTTCTCCATGACAGGATGCAGCCTGTTCCCCAGCCTCTCACAGTTTGGGAAGCTCTCCTCTGGCCCCTGTGAAGCTTTGTTTCTAGGACACAGTGCCTCAGTGCAGTGCTGAGGATAGACATGAATTGTTTACCAATGCTGGCCACCTAAGCCTACTTATTTAGCCATGTAGCAGGCTTCCTTAACTAAAAGCTCATTGTTGGCCAGTTGCAGTTTATTTTGATCTTGCAAATTAATTTCCCTTTCTGATGCTTGCTCTAGCTTGCATGCTCTCACATTTTCACTGTAGTGCCCCCTCAGTCCCAGAGCTCCCTATAAGGAAGAGGAGGAATTAGGAGGAAGAAAGTCTTTGGAGCTCTCAGAGGACTTAGGGATCATCTATCTAGTCCAGGCCCACAGAACCCCAAAGGATCTTTGGATGGGTTTCAGGGCCTCTGTGGACTTCCTGAATTTTTTATGTGTATTTTTCCTGGGGTGAGAGTCCACAGCTCATCAGATTTTCCTAGGGGTCCATATCCATCAGAAGGGGAAGACACTGATTTAGTTTAACTCCTTAATTTATAGACGAGAAAATGGAGGCCCAGAGAAGTGGACTGACTTGCCTCGGGTCATAGGCCAGAACTAGGATTTGAACTCATGCCTTCTTTTTCCAAGCAGCTAACAGATGCACACATACTTTGCAAAGTGCCAAATGGTGTCCTTATCGCTAGTGATTTCTGGGATACCACTGAGTGGAACCACTGGGTGCTGGTTGCCCTGAGGCCAGCAATGTATAGAGTTGCCGCACACAAGGACAGGGTTTTCAGGCTTCACTTGTGGGACAGTGGCCAGGGGCCATCAGGAGCGGGCTGCAGCTGAGGGTAGAAGTGTGAGTGAGATAAATGCCCTTCCCCAGGGCTTTGTGAAGACCTGTAGTCGGGAGTCAACATTCCTGGCTTTCATTCTCCCTCTCCCTACAACTTTTCAGGGAAGAAACTAGTTTTCTGCCTCAATCATCCCAGCTTAAAATGTCACGATAACCTCTGCTTCCCCTACTTCTTATTCAATGGGAACAAACTTGGCCAACTCTCTGCCCTTGATATTCAGTTTCCAAAAACCCAACCTCTTCCATTAGGATAGTAAGAAGCAGAGAGCTTCCCCCACACAACCCTTTTTAGAGACAGAACCCTTAGTCTTTACCCCAGACTTGGTATTATTTATTCACATCTTGGTTTGGCCTTTTCCAAGGCACTTTGGATCGTCCTAGCAATCCCTTCAACTACCCTACAAGGTAGATGTTATTAATCATCATTTTATAGAACAAAAATAGAAACAGAGTAGTTCATTGACTTATCCAAGGTCACAGAGCTGATAGAGGTGGCATTAGGGATTAAGCCTAGATCTTTGCCTCCAAGTGTATGTCTTTTCTCCTCCTACCTCTCCCCACCCCGGGAGCCCACAATTTTCTCAGTGCACATCAAGGTGTCAAGAGCCGACACTTCATGCAGGTAACTGTCTTAAACGTTTAATACAGTCTTGTGGTTGCCTCTGCTTATTAGCACGATTATCACACAGAAGGGAAGAGCCTGGCTTCCACCTTCCCCCTCCAGTTGGCTGAGCCGGGGCAGCAGGAAACGTACCTGTGCTTGGCTTCTAGGGACCCCCGAGTGTGCATCACAGAGCTGTTAGCCCAAGCCTCAGCCGGCAGTTGGGAGTGGGCAGCAGGAAAACCTGGGGCTGGAAAGGCTACCAGTCGCTTCCTGGCTTGAGGATGCCTGTTCGCTGAAAGGCTCCCAGGGATCCCCATGGAGGGGAAATCAAATGCTTCTCCTAGAAAGCCTCCACTTCCGTGGAGCTCAGACTCTGAGGAGTCAGGATTTCCCATGGGAGCTAGTGGAGTGCTGGGGTAGGTCGTGATCCCGAGGCACTGCCAAGCGAGCGGCTGAGTGTCACTGTGCAGCTCCACACGCAGCCTCCCCATTGCTGTTGCTTTTGATTCCCCCCTTCTCCTACTGCAGACGGCCACCATCTCACCCCTCATCCCTTCCTGACTGGCTAGTAGTGTATCGGGTCCTCCTGGTCCCTGTGACAGACTTTTTTTAGAAGGTAAAAATATAAACAGATCATTTTCAGTCTCTATAAAGTGTCACAAACGCCATTCATGGACTTTTCAGCTAAAAATCAAGGACCCAGCAGAGACATTTGGGTAGCAAGTAAGAATCCACCAAGGACGGGGATGGGAGCTCTAGTGAGTGATCCTTCATCCTAAGTACCAAGCACACAAAGTCATTTAGCCCTGCAAAAACTAGAGGTACACGCAGGGTGGTAAGGATGTTCTCCTAACTCCCACCACCCGGCCTCCCCACACCACCCCCACCTGCCATAGGTCACCTTCTATGGGGGGCAGGAGCTGGGGAGTGGGGCAGCCAGCCCCCTGTCCAGGTGGAGTCTGGGGTCGTTCAGCATCAGCTGGGATGGCTTCTTTCACCTTCAGCTTGGATCCTGAGGCCACCTCCGGAGCTGTGGCTGCCTCCATGCTGGGCCTACCCAGAGGCTGGGCTCCAGCTGAAGATTTTCACTGCTGGTGGTGAGGGAGGGGCTGAGCACCTGCTCTCCAGGCTGGCCTCCCAGGGTCCCAGCCACAGAGTTATGTAACTGGGCTGGCCTTTCCCCACTCAGTTACTCCCAACACAAGGGCTGAAGTAGGGGCTAGAGGAAGAGAGGGGGATGAGAGTGCAGCCCAGAATAGCCACAGGAGGAGGGCTGAGGTGGCTCTGTTATCTGGGGAGAGAGATGACACCCCTCATGGCACTAGGGAGGGAGGGGAAAGTTTGAGCACAGACCATCCGAAAGGGACCTCTGGCTTCTGTCAGGATTGGGTGACATCTCAGCTTCTGACCTCCAGCTCACTCAACAGGGTGTTTGGGTCCCAAGCATATTTGATTCACAGGCACACCTTTAACTGCTTTCTCCCTCCCCTCCCACATTCAGTGGGTTGTAAAGTCTTATCAGCTCAACCTTTACAGGGCCCAGCCCCCTCCCCCCTGGGCGTGGAGTCCAGTGCAGTGGTGGGAGAGTTTGCTCTCTGCAGTCAGCCTGCCAGCCTCCACTTTGGCTCTGGCACCAGCTAGCTGTGTGACTTGCAGCACATCAGTCTCTCTTAAGTCTGTTTCCTCATCTGTAAAATGGAGATAATAATAACCATAGGGTCATTGTGAGGATTAAAAATGGTAATCTCTGTAAAGTGCTTAGCAGTCTGTAGCCGACTAAGTGCTTGATAAATGAAAGCTATTTTTAGGTCAGGCCAGCATTTCCCCCCTTTGAAAGCTGTCAATGGCTCCCTTGCCATGAGATAAAGTACAAATAAAGGGAGAGGCAGCAGTGGTGCAGGCAGGACAGCTCAGAGGGCTGGAGCGGGGCCTCTGGCCGTCCACTCATTCATCAGCTGGTGACTCTGGGCAAATCACTCACTCTGAGCCTCAGGTCCCCTTTCTATGCAACAAGGGATGATGGTGCCATGACTGTGTTGAGGATACAATGATAAAAATATAGAAAAGTGGCCAGCCCATCATAGGTGCTAGTCACACACTAAAGGTCCTATATGATTTCCATGCTTACCAAACTGTTGCCTACACTTGTTGAACACTCATCCAAATTGTCTGGTTTCCTATTGTACTGCACTTTCTTACCTCCAGAAGCCAAAATCCTCTCTTTACTTTAAAAAAATATACTATAGATGTTTTAGGGTCACAGCAAAGTTGAGTGTAAAGTACAGAGTTCCCATATAGCCCCTCCTTTGCCTTTTTTTTTCATGGAAAAAAAAATGAGTATGGTTGAATGGGCTCCTTACACATTTTTGTCCTCAATTTGGGGGCAGTTGATAAGATCCCAGGAGCCCATGTTATTATTTTAGGGTGAATGAGTTCCAGCCTCTTTGCAACTAGTATAGGGGCTAAGGTCCAGGACAACCTGTAGATATACAGGAACCTATTTATCAGGGGCTCAGGAACCTATTTATCAGGGGCTAGGACAACCAAAAAATGTGACTGTGGAGGTTGGCTTCTGGGGCTGGTTTGGTTAGTAAAAGGCTAGACTTGTGCCAGAACTAGTTTGAAGTTCTTTCTGAACTATTTGTCTTGTCTGGCCCAGCCAAGGCTCCCATAAATACAGACAGTCTCCAAACACACCCCCTTTTTACACCGCACAACCCATATTTTGGTGAGGAATGGCTCAGGCTTTCAGTCTTAGCTGTTTGTTCAAATGAAGGTGTAAAGAATTAAATTTAAAACGCAGATCCTAGGGTCTGCCCATCAGAAAGTGTAATTCAGTAGATGTGGGGCGGGATCCAGGAATCTGCATTTTAAAAAGCAACCTAGTGATTCTGGTGCAGGAAGTCTTAGAATACTGTTAGACAGAATTTCTTAAAATAAAACAACTACACCTTAGATAATCTCCTGAGGTAGAAACTCTCGCATCAGATGGTGGCCCCACGAATAAGGACTTTGCTCTGTCGTCTTCAGACCAAGACACCAGAGTATTAAATGGAAACATCACGCCAGGCTGGCAGGGTGGGATAGCTAACAGCTCAAGGCAGGTGGGCAGGAACCTCCCCTGAAGGAAACATTTTGGAAGAGAAGAAAGCTGCAGCTCTCTGAAAGTTCTTAGATGAAACAGATGAGGAAGAACCATGAGTAAGAGCAGCAAGAGAAATATGAGAGGCAGAGGGAAAGTTATCAAACCCACTACAAGGAACACAGGATTCAGGAGAATAATTATATGCTGCTGTGTCCAGAGAACAAAGCAACTGAAACCTAAGAAGGTGTGTCGGGTGGGTCTGCTAGACTTTATGGGAATAAGAACAAGAAAACTGGTCTTATAAACACCCACAGAAGGTAGATCTGTATGAGCATAAATAACAACAAATTGAAGAACAAGAAAATTAGATAACTTATGGGGAAAACTTCACTTTTTTATAAGTTGTTTTCCCTACAAATTACCTAATACCTTCATGCTATAAATGCACCATCCTGGTTCTTTAATCGGCCTATTCTCTGGTTGTTGGAGTTTGATTTTTGAAGCTGGGAAACCGGAAAAGCTTTCACATTAACAAACTGTAGCTTAGTCATCCTAGTACGTCAGGTAACAAAGTCCAGTCTGTTTTATTTCTAACCCAAATATTGCAAATATACAGAAAATTACCAGTACAAAGTTAAACACATCCAGATTTATTTACACAATGCTAAAGAAATTTGAGTTTTATTTCCATTTTGTGGAATTTTATTAGGGGGTCTGGCTTTGTTGTATAACTGACATGGGTCATTGAAACTTGATTATCCCACCTCACATGCAATTTTCTGTCCCAAAGGAACAGAAAACTTGAGTTTTTAGAGCACATGCAGTAAAGATCTTAGTACTGCTTTACACTCTTATAGGAAGGCAGCTGTCCCACAGCTTGGGGAGGGACCACATGCTCAGAAAGGGAAGAAGAGACAAGAGAGGGTTGAACAACAGGCACATGGGGACCCTGAGCATTTCTGTGCACGAGGATAAGGAGAGTACGACCAAAACCCTCTTCCCTGGAGGTCCAAACACAGGAGGTGGGAAGAGTCATCAGGGAACATGAGGTCACCTGACCACAACTGAGGGCATGCGGAGGATGAGAACCGTGTTAAAGATTTGGGGCATATCAATAAATCATTAACATGTACACTATACAGTTTATACATGTATATATGTACACACACATATATATAAAGGTACAGATTAGTTTATGTTATTCCTTATGAACAAGTACATTTAAGAATGTACTGGTGTGAAAAAATGCATACAGCAAGTTGTTGAAGACAATTTCAAATTAATGTTCGGACTCTTACTGTTATAATGCAATGTAACCAAGAAATCAAAATGCTCCTTCTATTTCAATTATCCTTCATGAGGGCAAAGCCTGGGCTCTGCTAGGTCAGGATGGTGCTCCCAGAGCTGCCTGAGCTGGACAAACTGGTGGCAGATGAAACAGAAAATCTGGCACCTGCTAACTCTGGCTTTCCCTGTCACTCCATCACATGGCAAATCTTAAACTTTGGTTTGTTCAAAGGATATTTAAGTGCATGTTCATTTTTCCTGCTTTAGAGAAGGTGGCAGCAAAGTTAAAGATCCAAATCCCTTCCTATTTTAACAATTGCAAGTGTCCTGGCTTAATACAGGGGTGAGGGGTCTACATTGACTATGAGCAGGATGAGCTATAGGCCATTACATACAGGAGCAGGGCTCTTCAGAGCTATCCTAAAAGGAAAGAGAATCTTCTCACCTGGATGGTTTGCCTGGAAAGTAAATAAATGACTAAACCTAGGTCAGCCCTGTTACCCTGAGGTAGGTGTGAATGTCCCTGGCTCCTCTCTGTATCCTGGTATCATGACAAAGGCCACAGGAGAACCAGCTGAACCAGCTATGGTTTACAGCTGGAGATGGAGGTGGCTAGCACATTGCCATCTGTCAGGGATGAAAGGCCAGCCTGGGCTTGTAGAGGGAGACACACTGAAAAACCTACTCAGAGGCAGAGGCTGAAGTCTAAGTTTTGGTTATAGATAATCTATGGTTTCCTGAGCCCGCCCTAGAACTACCACAGTTCTCCAAAAGCTATTCTTCTAAATAGTGTTCATTTTCAATTAATAGCCTAGGTGTATCCATTACTGGTCTATGGACTCACTAAATACCCAAAGCCCCCTTCGGTCCAGAGCAGAAAGGAAGAGTGAGTTCTCTACCTGGATTTAAGAACTCAGACCACTTTGGAGTATCTGATATGTCCAACTTATCTTATAATGCCAAATTCCATTGCTGAAACCTCCAGAAATAATGTCTCTGCTACCATCAAGCCTGGGAGTTTACACAATGATATGCTATGTTTTACCTTCGAAGATATGCTCCTAACATGAGTAGAATAAATTAGAAATCTTTTCTTTCTTTTTTTTTTTAAGAAGCTATAGTGGATTTGAGCTGTCTTGCTCTCTGGCTGAGGGCATATATATATATGTGAGTGAGCAGGCTAATAAAGAAAGCTAACTAGCCAATAAAGGAAATGAGCCAGGCTTGCTAGCCATCCTCAAACCAAATGAACTAGCCAGCCAGGGGTGAAAACCAGGAGGGTGGAGCAGGAGACCCATTAGTGGAGATTCCACTCCTGCACTCTTGAACACAACTGGGGGAGGAGCCGTTTCTAAAAACATATTCAAAATTACTATTACTTGCATTTTCAGCCACGAAAAACAGGAGAATAGAATTTTCTGTTAACCAAGATGGCAAAAAGATGCTAAATACTGCTCTGAGAGGAATGCCACTGCTCCCTGTCCTAAAGAACAGCAAGTCATCTATAAGAAAGAAGCCCTGCTCTAAGTAGTCAGCACTTGCATAAAGATTTTCAAGATTCTGAAGACAACCAACCAGCACTGCTCATAACATACACAAGGATCCTGGACAATTTACTCAATTTTGGTTCCTCAGCCCCATCATAAGAAAGTTGTGAGGTTCAAATGATATAATAATGCTACTGAAAGTGCTCTGAAAATTGTCAAGTTCAACAGAAATCCCAAGTACTATTATAAGCAAAGAACCCTAATCTTATGTGGTTAGAGCAGAATATTAACTTTCCTGTATCTTGAAACTAAGAGTATTACCATATATTGGCACATCTACCCACAGTGTGTATATGCTGAGAGAAAAGGTGTATGGTGTAAATAGGTCTTTTCTGGACACCAAATTCACTTTGGGCAGGAAGTGAGGGTGGGACAAAGGCTGACACTTTCATCATTTGTGAGCTGGCATATTTTTGGAATTATTTTTAATTTTAAAACTATGTAAAATGAATGAGCTAAAAGACTAGTGTACTTTAGTGCTAACAAATATTAATTTTCTTCACAAAAACTGCCCTAACTTTATTTTCTAACTGAAGCTCCCTGACTCATTTAATCTTACTGCAGTTTCAAAATCTCTAAAAATCTCCATCCGCCCCCCTCCTCCACTTTCCATGTTGCTGTTAATCCATTCTGGGGAGGAAAGAATTTAGCCATCTGCTCACATTCTGACAAAAGTTAATTTGGCACATTTACTTTTTACTGACTTTCTCACCACAAAATGAACTAGCAGCAAAATGGCATCTACCAAAGAATGTCCCAATCATAATCATTGGGAGAAACTATGACCAGCACAGTAAGTACATTAAGACTAAAAATTTACCAAACTATATTTTTGTGTAACAAATATTCAAGCTGTATTAAAACTAATTATTGCTGGCCAGGTGAGGTGGCTCACACCTGTAATCCTAGCATTTTGGATGGCCAAGGTGGGAGGATTGCTTGAGCCCAGAAATTGAGACCACCCTGGGTAACAGTGAGACCCATCTCTACCAAAAAAACACAACAACAACCAAAAAAACCTAGCCGGGAGTGGTGGCACATGCCTATAGTCCCAGCTACTCAGGAGGCTGTGGCAGGAGGATCTCTTGAGCCCAGGAGTCTGAGGTTGCAATGAGCTATGATCATGCCACTACAGTCTAGCCCTGGCACCAGAGAAAGACCCTGTTTCAAAATGAAAACAAAAACAAAACTAATTATTGCAGCTTTCCATTACTATATGGTGACCCTAAAACCCACCCAATTACATTCTATAATTTATTTAATTTGGAAAAATATAAATGGGAAACTTCCTTAATTCAAAATATGAACTTAATGTATCAGGCAGAGCATCATCTAGACTGGAAGCGTGTTTTCAATTGGTTCAGCGAAAATTTTCACGCCAACAAATTGCTTGGCAAAGCTGGGAAACAGGGGTGAGGACAGCCTGGTAATAAAATTATGATTTTTTAAGAAAAAGTCTATAAATCTGAAAACATCTCTAATCCTGGCTCCATGTATAACAGCAACCTACGAGGAAGCAGATCAGCAGCCACTGTAAGGATTCAATAGGAACCACAGGTGAAAGGGGGATGGAAGACTGCGAGGCTCCACGGCCACACCGTACTCTCAACAATCAACTCTGGGGAAGGGCACACTTCCAGCCCAGCCTGTACCCTGTCCTTGAGCAAGTCCACTGGCACACACACAAAGCACAGCTTGAAAGATCACAGAAGCAGCAAGGATTTCTCCTTTAATAGGTGCTAAATCTAGTCAATTCTCTGCTGCTCCCTTCTTCCTGCCCCAAGTTAAAAATATTGCCCTGTAAGTTTTCCTGATTTAGTGTGTTGGAAGCACATGGTTAAGTTAGTTGCCAAAGGGCAATTAACAAGGGTATTGACTAATTAAATAGGGTAAAAGAAAAATCACTGTGGTCTACGGTCCCTAAAAAAAAAAAAAAAAAGAGGATGCAGGATCTGTGTGAGGAGCTGATATGCAGCGTTCTTGGAGTAGGGCTGTCCCCAGATGGAGAAAAGCTGGTTAGGCTGTGCCAGCCACTGCAGCTTCTGTTTTGTTTCTGCAGCTGCTTCATGTTGCCAGCAGAGCCCAGGGACAGCACCAAGTACATTGTGAGAGCTGATGCTGGAGTTGGCAGGTGCCCTAAGGCAGGTGCCATGCAGAACAAGGGTGGGGTTAATGAACCAGTCCCTTTGAATTCCATTTCATTTCCCTTAAAAAACAAAAACAAAACTCCCCAAACCCACACTTTGCAAAAAGACAGAACTTGAAATAAAAAGTTAAAGAATTTAAATTTTCCCCTTCTTCGTGGAGCCAATTGTAAAAAGTGCTCAGGGTTCCCCACCCCCACCCTGCATTCTTTAGTGTAGGTCCTTTTGGCTTTGATGGAAGCAGCAGAAACAGAGCTGGGTCCCTCGCAATGGGAAATTTATTTCCCCAAGTCGGAGCCACAGAGAGTGTAAGAGGTACTGTGGTTCTACCATCCATGCCGGGTCCCAGCTCTTTTGAAGAGCTATTCCAGAAGGTCCTGAAAAGAAAGACATGCACCACATTATTGATGGGCTACAAAATTCCTATTTTGAAAGCAATTACCTAGTTTCTGGACTTGCCAAATCTTATAGTCATTGTTGCCTTTGCCTCAATTATGTCTTGATGATAAATAAGAGAACACAGACCTTTTTTGGTATTTTGGACTACCCCTCACAAAGAAACAGTCTCACCTCATCTGAGTCATCATGATAACCACTTTTATTAGAGTGGGAGGCTGTGTCTAAAGCATCCACACCATCCACGCCATTGGCCTCTGCATGTTGCTGCAGCACAGAATATCGATGCACCAGGAACCTGTGAACAGAGACTGCTTTAACCTTCATGTGGTGAGCAGGGGTATGTTTCTTATAGGACTGTGGACTTTCCCAGTTTCATACACTCACACAATGAGTCATAGAGACAGGAAGCACAGCCCATAGTTAGTTGACATATGAAAAATGTAAGACATAAGATCTGGGCCTGATTTTTCAAGAACATCACTTCAACTACCTAGATTTTGCCATCGGCCGATGCAACAATATGCCGTTGGCTGGCTTTCTGGTTTGAATTCAGTACTTTTGATTGAGTCCCATGTTCCTTACCTTCCTCCACAGACATACTTCTTCACAATGAGCACTCCTGCTATGACTGTGACTAGCATCAATCCCACGATGGCCAGGATAATTGGAACAGAATTTGACTTGGAATTCTTGATAAATTAAAACATAAACAAAAGCTTTTAGGCATGCATTCTAGGATGGCATTCAAAGCAGCCACTCATGCCCCTCATTTCTCTGTGAATGATCTATAGTTCCAAGGCACTTAATGATGGTACTTTTCCAACCCCCCAAGATGAACCATCTCAATGTTACCAGGAAAATATCACAGCTGGTAGAGGGTAATCTGAGCTCCCAATGCCTTGAAGCTGCAAACCAAGTGGCTTAATGTCAAAGTTTTTTTTTTTTTTTTTTGAGACAGAGTCTCGCTTTCTTGCCTAGGCTAGTGTGAGTGCCGTGGCGTCAGCCTAGCTCACAGCAACCTCAAACTCCTGGGCTCAAGCAATCCTACTGCCTCAGCCTCCCGAGTTGCTGGGACTACAGGCACGAGCCACCATGCCCGGCTAATTTTTATATATATATATATTAGTTGGCCAATTGATTTCTTTCTATTTTTATAGTAGAGACGGGGTCTTGCTCAGGCTGGTTTTGAACTCCTGACCTTGAGCAATCCGCCCGCCTCGGCCTCCCAGAGTGCTAGGATTACAAGCGTGAGCCACCGCGCCCGGCCTTAATGTCAAAGTTATACTAGAAGCCTTGACAACTGCCTAGATCAAGTATGGTAACTGTGACTATTTCACATTACCATTGTTCACAGGCCTTGGAGCTTAAGCGTGGAGCAGGGAGGGACACTGTGATAATGGGCTAAATGATCCACAAGTGGGCCATTGGGAAGAAGCTATGTCAATGCTATATCAGGCAGTCCATTATATGACACCAAGATTTACTTTTTTAGTTAATTGTGGGAATGTTTTTACAAATAAGCCTCATCAGATCATTGCATGTAACCTACCTGCTCCTGGGTGGGAGATAGGGAGTGTGTGTTTTCAATGTATCCAAGAGGAGGCGGAGCTGGATTCTGGGACAAGCTGTGTCCCTGTGGGCGGGAGTCCTGTGCAATCACACACACAAACACTCTGAGGACAGCCACCAGGAGTCCAGGGCAGGGGTGCAGAGGAGGAACTTGTCCCCTTACAAATACACACACCCACACACTCTTCTCCCATTGCCTTCTTAATCCCACCCCTCGTCAGTCTCGAATCCCTCAGAACAGCAGAGTGGAAGACTGCAGATTGTCCGGCGCAACCTCTCATATTACAGATTAGGAAAGAGGGGCCCACAGTTTATCGCACCAAGTCATGCTGCTGGTCCAGTGCTTCTTTATCAAGAGGCTTCCTCTTTACCATATCTCCAAATCTCAGCTAGATAGTTCAGCGCTACAGATGTGTAAGCATAACTTGCTTCTAGATCAAAACCAGTCCATGATTACTATGGTTCAGTCTTTCCTTCATCCACCCTACTCACCATCCAGTGATCTTCTCCTCTTGCACAGAACTCCAGGTAGGCCCTTTACAGACAATCTTCTTGAGTATTTTCCCTAAATGACTTTGAGCCTCAGAAATTCCCACAACTCTATGCTTCTAAGACTTTTATATAACTTTACAGAATACCATTCTCCCATCCCCAACAACAACAAAAGAGTTTTCAGTAGGATGAGCTTATCACTGGGTTATGTGACTCATCCTTTATCCCATCAGTTTCTTGTGTAAAGGGAAGCCTGATAGAAGTAGTTTGGCCCCTCATATCAGTAACAAAATTCTTGATGCTATAACTCTGATTTTTCCTGGCAGAACACAAAATCCCACTTTGACCTAAACACTAGATCTATTTTAACATACCTGCTTTTCTGAACTCAAAAAGTTGCTTGTGCATTTCTTTTTCAAGTCTTTTACTTCTCGAATTGGATTCACCCCACCTTGGCATCTGTCTCCTGGAATTTTCCGGTACCTAAAAGGCAGAGAAGATTTGTTAACAAAATACAATGATGTATTCCTGCATTCTTGCCTATTTCTTGGAAATAAGATTTGAAAAGCTGCCAAAAAGTTTCTCATCCTTACATCATTTTTCAGGCCTGGGGAGATGTCCATGGGGATGTTTTGGGAGTATTTTGTGTAGTTTCAGGACTTGAGCAGACTAAACATCTCTGTCCCTAGCTATCAGGGACATTCCTACCCTTTCTACCTCAGAGACTGGGCCAAAGAACTGTGACCCAGGAAAAGCTCATTAACAAGTGGTACAAAAATGGGAGGGGGGAAATTATTGAGGGAGGTAGGTAATGATGCTCCTCTACAGCAACACTGTCCCATATGATGGCTATTTAAATTAAAATTAATTAAAATGAAAAGTTAAGTTTCTCAGTTGCACTAATGTCTACAGCCACATGTGGCTAGTGGCTACCACATTGGACACAGCAGATTATGGAACATTTCTATCACCACACAAAGTTCTATCAGAAGGTGCTTTTCAAGAGCACTCTACATTGAGGTGGTGATGTCATGCTCTCCCTGGCCTGGCCTGGCCTAAGTTGAGCCAGATGAGGGAAGGATGGGCATTCATGACAAATGAGACTGCTTTTCTTGTTTTACCTATGGGCCTCTCGCCTCTCCTCCCCATTTGTGGGCAGTCCATGGAAGGCAGGGTGAGCTATCTGGCTGAGCTTGCTCCTTGACCTTCTGCCTCATGGCATTGGAGGGGTTGAGATCCTCTGACGCAGCAAGCACCCCTTGCTTGTGGTTATGCCTTGGCAGTGGGGAGGGGGCATCCCACCAAAAATAGAGTACTCTAAAATATTGCTCAGATCTCTGTATGGA